TTGTACCTGCGTCCAAATAGTCATCCCAACTCCACGATAGACGCCAACTGACCACGTGTCAAACTCGACGCTCAACGCGTTGTGGAGGCCCGCGTAGCCGAGTCCCGCACCGCCGAGCCCCACGACCGACGATTGAGACCTTGAAGTACAAAGGCCAGGCCATCCCCGCCCCGCGCGCTGTCAAACAACATTGTCAATGGAGTCAAGTAGAAGACGAGCGCACCGGCAGTGGGTCGATACGTCGTCCATAAACTTGCAGTGGAACGACGGGTTGGAAAGGCGGAGCTCAAACGTCGTCGAGAAGCCTTCGCGCACCGTCATGGGCCGTGGGTACCACGCGGCGCCAGTCAGATACGGCGCCGAGCCCGTGAGGCGCAAGGCTGGACCGCACGGCAGGAGGGGCAAGACCGCGGGTGGCACGGTGACCGCGCTGCTGTTGCGGATCGTCGTGAGCGATGAGCTTCGAGCCGTTGCCATTGGCAGCGCCGCGCACGTGAGGTAGCACGCATTCGTGCTCGCACGGATGTCGCAGCAGATGCTGGTGCTGTTGCAATTTTGCACCTACTCCGTGGTATCAACCCATGGAACGCAAGGCTAGGCCACGTACGTTGGCATGCCCAAGGAGCACGAGCCCGAACGCGCCTTGGCCGCCCGCGTCGCCCGTGGGCCCGAGCGTCGAGTGCGGGTACGCCGCCGAGTTGTTGAGGATTGCTGCTGCCGAGAAGCTCGTAAATCCAATGTCTACGCGCACCACGCCCACCAATGGTCGACTTGAACGAAAGCGGGGCATACCGTGGAGAAGCGTGCGCACGGCCGGACCGGCCAACGGCGACGGGCCGCCCACGACAGCGGTGATGTCCATGGCCCGGCGTCCATACAGATCCACGTCTTGCCACGGAGCCGTGCGCTGGCTCATATGAGCGCAATCCATCAACGTCATCGATCGAGGAGTGTACTTGGTTCTCGACAAGCGCTGTCACGGTGACGTTGTACGTGGCGTTGGCGGCCAACGGGCGAATCGTCGTCGTCGTGACGTTCCCAACGACGACGGAGGCGGTGGAGCTGCCGTCGGTCCACGTCACCCGATACCCGGTCGTCGCCAGGCTCTGCCAAACGTCGCTCGACGGCGCCCACGTCACGTCCATCGCGTGGGCCGCCACGTTGGAGAGCATCGGCGCTTGCGTCAGCGTCACGGGCTCTACGGATGATCGTGGGATGCGAGCTCCAGAGACTGCGATGCGTACGCGCATATGCGACGAAGCGCATGTCGATGCGAAGCCCGCGGAATGCTTCGTTGATGACGGTCACGACCGCCGGGTTGGGCCCATCGAGCGCGTTGGGTGGCAATGTACAACGCAGCACCTCTTCTTCGAATGCATCGGATGCAAGCGTCGGCGCGTGAATCGTCGATGGCCCGAGGCACGGCTGGCCGTTGATGTGCACGATGGCCGTGTCGCCAAAGTGGCGGCCTTGGATCACGATCGTGTCGTTGGCCATGCAGTTGTACGTTGTCGCGTACGGTAGCGAGAGGTGACCAAAGAGCGATGTAAAGCGAGGGTGCACACCGTTGGTCTTGGTTGTCTGCAGCGTCACGTTGGCCACTGGCGTCGTCCGGGCGCTCGTGGCAAAGTACTGGTCGATGCAGCCGCGCACCTTGGTGATGGTCGGTGCTACATTTGTATTATAGATAGATAGCATCGTCGCTGGCCTGCATCGCACCTTTGATGATCTGGATCCAGTCGATGCTGAACGACTGCCCGAGCTGCGCGCGCGTCGCACACGGGTAGAGGCGGATGCGGCGAATCGTCTCGTCGCCCAACGTGTAGATTGGAATGTAGTAGATGTGCTGTGCACCGTCGCTGAGAATGCTAAAGTCATAGGTCGTCGGTCGTTCGAATCGCGCCTTGCGGTCCGTAAAGGTCCCTACGCCCGGGCCGCGGTCGAGGAGCACGCGGCCAGAGCTGCAGAGACCGTCGTACGCCATGCGCAGCACGAGGTAGTGGCGATCGTCGACCTCTAGCTCAAGCAGCGGCGAGTCGATGTAGGGCGACTCGCCAAGCGCCACGCCGTGCAAGAGCCCGCCGTTGACGTCGACCTCGGCCTCCATCGCGGCCGTCGACGACGTCGCCCAGTCGTTGAGGCCATCGCCAAAGGACCAGTACGCTACGCGCACGTCTCGGTACACGCCATGAGCATGAAGACGATGTAGTACCTTCGTCGGTCCGGAATGGCACCTGCGATAGCGACTGCGCATGGAGCAAGGCCAGCGCGGCGACGAGGAGCACCACAATGCACTTCATGCTCGCGTATCTTGGAGCGACGTTTCCATCAAATCGGCATATGCCGCCTATAACACTACATTCGGCATCATGCGACATGTGCAATGCCGAAAGATATCACTAGAATGCCGAATTGGCAGATTGCAATGTTGCTCGCACGCCGGGCCGTGGCACTCCTCGCGCTGGTCGGCGCAGCGGCGGACGAGGCAGCTGTGCAAAGGTACCCGACGCCATCGACAGTCTCGTTCCCGATGGACCGCCGCGTCGTCGAAGCCATGGTGCCCGGCGACGCCGTCCGCAACTACCAGCTGGTCGAGCGCACGGCGCTCCTCGGTGTCTGCGGGCCGGATCGCGACCGCCCGAGTCGGGCGTG